ACTAGGAGCACATGCTCCCATGAAACCCTTTCTCTTTCAAAGCATCACCTTGGCTTTCATGATTGCACTAGGTACATTTGGTGATGGTTGGCCTCATGGATGTTCCTCCAGGCAACATTGTAACAGCAACTGTGGCAGAAAGGCCAAAAGAAATGCAGTAACAGCCATGGATAACAGGCACTACATACCTGGTGCTTTGTACATTTTGAGAGCTCTGCAGGCGCCATCACTGCCTCCTTCTCCAGCTCTCTGTGTCAGAGATGCAGCTCAGACACTCCCATTACAGTTTGTTTCAGGTAAGTGTTCTTCAGACTTCTCCCAACAAAAGACTCTTTTATCACTGGTAATTACTTTGTCATATGAGGGCACATGTCTGCCTTTAAGTTCCACTCACTGTTTGAAGTGGAAATTACCCCGTATTTTCAAAACAACATGTTTTCCCAAATGCACCACTCATGTTTCATTTCACAAATTTATCACCGGACAATCGGCAAGATTGAAAATTACATCCAAACTGAAACAACCAATAGAAACCCACTGCTGCAAAAGAATGGAGACAAAAGCTGATGATAAGTGTTCAGGGTGAGATTAATTTCTTATTGTCTGGGGAAGGGTAAGTCAGAATACTGTCAGGCTGGAATCAGTTTGAGTTCTATCAAGAAAAAGAATCATTTACATTTACATTGAATTGAATTTCTGGTGGTGTTTTCATTTCATTCAGTCTAATAATTTCCTTTTCATCTTTAAGTTCATTAAATTACTTTTTTCTTTTGCTCAGATGAATATTAAAAATGAGAATTAAAAACCCAGGGAAATTATCCTTTAAAGTCACATATCAGTATATGAAAATGTCCAGCAAAATGATTGATCCAGAAAGTCTGAAAAAGTCATTTCACAATACATCGGGAAATACACATATTTACAGGCCAGATTTTAGTACCCTCACCTGCATCATTAGTAACCTTTCCTTTACATTTGTGAGAATCCTATGAAAACTCAGCTGTGTATCCAGGAAGACAATGTCTGCACAGCAAAAGGAATCGGGGTCAGCCAGCCCATAGGCAGTGGTGGGCACCTCTGAAGCTGGAAGATGTGGATTCAGTACCCGTCCCAGGCTAAGGGGATTACTTTGCACATGCCATCCCTTTCCTTAATGATCTTCAAAGCCCATTAACGCAGTTAGTTTTATTATAAACATTAGTCTGATAACCACTAGACTGCAGCTGCTATCAAAACTAATTACGTTCACCATTAATAAGTCCTGAGCTGCGCTGGGCTCTGGTTCTTTGAGCAAAGGCGATATCATCTGTTAAGCCACACGTCACACGGTGCCTTAAGAGCCTCAGCCTTTTGCATTTCTAGCAGCCCTCTCTCTGAAGCTCGGTAGCTGGCTTTCTGCTGGCAGCTCTGCGCCCGGTCACCCAAGCCGCCGCGGCAGCCTTTCCCAGCGTCTCTGGGGCAGCATTTTCCCCTTGTTCCCACGCTGTGGATCTTGTGCTGTTATCCTCCCGGCCCTGCACCTGCAAACCCAAACATGTTGTTACAGTGGGTTCTCGTGGGAAGTGACTGCCACCAGCGTGAGAATCACCCCTTCTTCCCCTCCCTTTTCCTATCCTGTGGTCAAAGTTTCTGGTTGACATTACTGGACCCAAACTTAATAGCAAGTCAGCATACAGCCTCAGCGATGCGTGCTCTCAGCAACACCAACAGCATCATAGGCAGGAGCAACTGGTAAGAAGTGAGTCCTGATGAAAATTATACTGATACTGTAGAAAAAGCATTACAGGGGGAGCTACATACTGCACTGGAGAAGAGACTCAGAGAAGGATGCTTGCCTGGAGCCCCCCGTTGCTTGTCTTTCACTCTCTCTCCTTTCATTTTGATTTTTCCCTTAAAGTAACTATATGCCATCAGCTACAGACATTGCCAATAACTCTCTGTGCATGTGAACTTGTTTCGAAAACCTTTGTGGAATACAGTTATACACTCTTAATGAAACAGCAAATAACCAATGTTTTTATGGTTAGGTACCTCGTGAGCCTGAGCAGATTGAAACAAAAGGGAGAGCTCACTGAAACCTTCCCGCCAAGGAGAAGCGCATGAAAGCATTAAGGTGTTTTTGTATCACCCAACTGTAAGCACCAGCTACAGCTCAGTCTCTCATTAACGGCAGGCAGCAGGCATGTCTGAGAGGTGACTCACGGGGTTTATGGAGAGCACAGCAAAGGACAGAAAATCATGTCGTGTCACCTTCCTTGCAGCCTGCGGGAAGAGGGGTGCCTGGTTAGGTGCACTTCTTGCTCCATGTCAGCTACTAATGTCACTTTTCTGTCCTTCCCTCACGTGCCATATTTCCATCTTACACCCTTGCATTTTCTCACAAACACTTCCTTAAATTCATAGTTTATTTGCTGATTTTTTATTTTTTTTGTAATGGCCATTGTAACTTTCTTCAGTATTCATTCTTTGGAAACACCCCTGCTGCCAATTTTAAAAACAGTTGCAGTATCGCCCCCTTACTTTGCATGGAAATGTTGTTTGTACCGCTTGAAAAATGAAAGCAAGCTCAAAGCATACGTAGTACATGCTTACATGGAGACGAAGAGGTCAAATTTTGTGTAAAGCAGGAATAATCACAAGTTTTAAGCACCTGAGAAGCCTGTAAATTACTCTCAATTACACTGATCCTGTAAGCAGTATCGGTGTCAGAAGCTATTTCCACGTGAAATAGGAGAGGTGGCTGTACCAAGAATGGCACAAAGCAGTTCTACCATTGCAAATGTAGAGGATTTCTCTTCTTTCTGTCACCATCATGAGGACTGAGAAGAACTGCATGAAATTAGATATAGCTTTTTAAGATATCATATGCCAGAAAAGCCTTTTGCTGATTCTAGCAATAATGGCCATTACTTTAACCTTATTTAGTGAAAATAACTTGGTTGTTGCACAGCTTGAATAATGAAAGAAATCTTTTCCATACTAATATTCAAGCAAGACTGAAAATAATTTATTATCACATGAAATATGAATCTTTCTTGATCTTACACACTGGTCCCTGATCTTCATTGCCCCAAGGGCAATAATACCAAGCATCTGAGGTGTTGCAGGCACCTTGTTCTGTCAGGATGGTGAACCTGATCTGTGGAAAAACAAGTACAGGACGTCAAGCAACATTTCAAGGTCTTGCAGGCAACATGTTGCTAGCATCTACAGACAAGGATCTTATGATTTGTGTCAGATATTTACATCATGTAAAATGTACAAGTATGGCTATGTGTTAATACAGATACAGCAACACAGCAAAGGAATGACAGGTATTGAAAGTTATGCTGTCCAGTTAATGATATTTCTGATTATTTGCTGATATCACTACTGGACTATTTAATCCACAGTCTAATTAAACTTGAGGTTTCAGCCTGACAAACACATTCTTAAGCAGCCAATCACTTACTAAGCTCCCGCTTTCGGCTGCATTGAAGAAAATGCACAGCAGTGTTCCTGGTTTTAGGCAAGTAAATGCAGATGCGTGCCAGGGTAACTGAAAGCAAAATGCAACATTCGATTTGCGCAGATTGCAGTTGGTGTTACATACTCCTATCTGGCTTCTTGTTCTTGTTAACAATGTAAATCTAGTATCACTTCGTCAAACTCTAGTCCTTTATTTCTAATAATTTAATCAACCTAATACAAGTTTACACCTGGTTTTCCTTCATGAAATACCTTTAAGAAGGAATTGTGTTATTATGAGGACTGTTCCCTGCAGGCTTTTATTGGGTTTTTTGCAGTTTTCTCACTTGATCTGTGAACAACATAAATAGTTCACTGATTGAGAGAGAGTCTTTAATTTCTAGCTAAGGTATAGAGCTTAAGAGCAATAGAGAATTAATCTCTAATGGCCCTAGTTCAGAACACACTGAAAATACTACTTTCTGGAAAAAAAAGTCTTCTGCAACAATGATGTACTTTCCAAATCTGCTTTCTTAATTACCTGAGCACAAGTGCTGTAGGACTCCATGTATAGATGATAACCCTTTAGAAAGAGGGTCTGGTCCGAGTATGACAGATTCTGTGTGTGCAAAGGACAGAAAGAAAAAGGAAGAAATTCATTGTCAGGTTTCTTTACCTTTGTTGAATTTATTCTAAAGTGATCTCATATTGTTATTCCCAAACAAGTTGCTAAGCTCTGAATCAGTGGTCATGTTAGTAGGTAGTCTGATCTCATCTGGAAATGAAAAGGTGTACCAAACGCAGTGGATTTTGTGGACCCTACTCACTCCTGAAAAAAATAGAGGAAAAATACCCCCCTTTTAACTTCCTCTTCTTTTCTATGACATGTGAATTGTTGTATTTAATATTCTGCTTTCAGCTCAAAGATTGCCCACTTTAATGCATTTTCATCCAATAAATTGTTTACCCCAACATTTTAGGAAATGTGAAGGTTGTGAAAAAGGAGAATTTGTTTTTTATCATGAGCCACTGCTAACTGAAGTTTATTTCTGAGGTAGTGAAGTCTTTCAGTTTTATCTTCAGTTATGTGGGGACTAAACATTTAAATTACAACTGTAACAGACTTAGGCATTCCTAGAGCTAAACTATATTAGAAAGTTCTATTTTATTTTTTTTTATAGTGGTCTTGCCTGTATTAAATTATCTCCAGTCCTTTTCCAGAACTAACTTAATCTCAGATTTTGTCACTGCTTGCTTCTTGTATGTCTGAGTTTTTAAATTCTATCATCTCCTACATGCTAATCTACTATAATTTATTAAAAACTCTTATCATGTTAATTGAATAATATTGTGAGCAAAAGCATGATCGTTTGTTGAATGTTAAGGGAATTATTTGAATAAAAGCTATTCTGACATGTCTTACTAGACAACTTTTAAAAAAATGCACTTTCCTTCCCCTGCAATGGCTATTAGAATTTTTATTTTGTGGTCAACAATATTAACATAAATATTTTCTTGTTTTTCTATTATACTTTTGTTATCTGCTTTTACAGGTACCTCGCTCTTGTCCAGCCATTTCGCCTAACCCACCTGAGAACAAGATCAAAGACAATTCGAGCCAATTTATGTTTATGGGTGGCATCACTTATTCTGATGTTCCCTGTGTGGGTCTACTCAAAAGTAATAAAGTTCAAAGATGGTTTGGAAAGTTGCGCTTTTGATCTAACCTCACCTGATGATGTTCTCTGGTAAGCTTTCAAAGCTCAAGAGATCATGTCTGCAGCTGCTGTTGAGGATACCACCCATTTTATCTTTGACATCCCCGACAGGCAGATGGATGGATAGATGGAATAGAATTAAAAGCTGAAGCTGAGCCTTGTATCATTCAAATAATTGCATCTCAGATTGTATTGGTAATATAGAGGCAGCGCCAGCGTGACCGAGTTCAGCAAGACAGTTCCCACATAGCAAATGTAACAGTAAAGGATTTCTATTTCTCCTTGTCTTCTCTTGCTGCGTTTGGGTAACTGTTGTTCACAAATGGGTTCCCATTGCCCTTCCTGACCTGGCAGACTGTCATGTTTGGAAGATATAGATCACAGAAGAGATTAAACACTCCTCAATTTGCATATGTGACTTTCCAATATCTTGTGGTCCAGCAGATTCCTGACTATGTGTTGAATTCAAGCTAGCTTGTTGAGTCATGACTAGCAAGGGACGTAAAAGAACGTTTTAAAAACCTTACGTAACAGAGAGCAAATTTTAACTGATACTGGGTGTTTTTACATTAACATGTTCATTTGGATAAGGAAGATATTTTTGAAATTAGTATCGGAATTGTCTCTAATTACCACACTTGAGTTGATATTATTCAGCAGTCTCAGAGCACATGATCTGTATTCTTTTCAGGTGAAATCAGACTGGGAAAAGTGCTCTGGGAACCCATTGAATGGACTCCAATCACTGTTGTGTATTCAGTCCTCAATCCACAGCATCCAATTAGAGAAAATTCAAGGTTAAACCCCCTAACATGTAATGTATCATGTCCTAAACATGATCAATCTACAGATTTTCACTACTGATATGTACTACTTGTTAACGTAGACAAAGCCTAAGAGACTGTCTTTTCTGTTCCAACCTCCCTTCCCCCTCCACCCAAACTGAATTGCAAACAGATTTTTAATGGAATTAATTTTAACTCCAGAGCACCAAAACAAAAAGAGGGAAAAAAATGTGTAACAGTACAAAAGTTAAATATTTTAATGTCATCAAAGCTTGATGAAATTCACTGCTGAAGACTTAAGGTATTAGTAAAAACAATCCCTGAAATATGACTGTCCTCGTGAGGGACTTGAGACCCCCAAAAGCCTGAAAGAAATCAGAGAAAATAGGAGAAAAACAGGGTTGAAAGGTCTTTTGGAATTCAGTCTAGTCCATCCTCTCTGATGGCATGACCAATTTGTCAGAGGCTTGCTTAATTCCACATTAGAGGTGTTCATACAGAAAAATATGAAGACAAGTAAAAGGAGACTCTGGTAGATAAAGTAAAAAATACAATTAACTTCAATAACCAGAAAGCTTAACAAATTATTAAGCTCCCAATCTGTATGTCTATTTGTCCAGAACAAATTATAACAAAACAATCTAATTTCCTTCTTTGATGGCAGTTCTTCAGTTGATAAAGAATAAATAGAAACAAATTAACTTGAATTGTAACAAAATACCAGCAAACCAACTAGGAAAGATGATGTAGATTAGATTACACTAATGATGCAAAAGTGGTTGAAAAAACTGTGCTCAGAAGGTGGTCATCACTGGTCTACTATTAGACTAGCAAAATATCAGAGGACTAAGCAGACCGACTTGCATAAATGCTTGCAAGAGTTCCCACTAATTATACAAGTGCTAGAAAAAACACACACATACAGTATTTGGAAAGTTAAGAGGCATAATTTGTAGCTCTTGTAGTCAACAGTATTCCTAGAAGTGCTGAACACAGACTTCAATACTAAAACCTGCTTGCAGTTCTAGGTACTTGCTGCTCCTTAAGACAGGCTCCATGTATCTCTAATCAAGAATCACAAATTAGAGACCACTTTATGAAAAATTTCATTTATATTTTTTTACATTTATGAGATTCTCTTTGTGTAATCACCTTGTTTGTTCTTTTTGCATTTTGTTTTACAGGTATACACTTTATCTTACTATAACAACTTTCTTTTTTCCTTTACCACTGATAGTTATTTGCTATATTTTAATTTTATGTTACACGTGGGAGACGTATCAGCAAAACAAGAAAGCAGAGAGGTAAAGTATTATTCATGCTTCTTCCTATTTCAGATGCTCTGCTCACACTGCAAAGATTTTATATGTAACAAGTCGAAAGGATTAGTCCTAAAACGCCATTTAGACATTGCATCATGTAACTTTAAATGCTTCAGATGCTGCATTAGGTTCCCAGGAAACAGGCTGGGGATGAGATTCAGGGGAGTGAGCAAGATAACCCAGTTAGAAGGAAACACCGAGGAGCAGGTTATGGCTGAAGTCTTCGGCTTATCTAAGGACAACAAAAAGGCATGACCCAATCCTGCACTTCTGGCTGCAGA